TAAGATCCATGATTGTGCATGTATGTGTGTGTATGTGTGTGTGTGTGTGTGTGTGTGTGTGTGTGTGTGTGTGTGAGAAAGAGAGAGAGAGAGAGGGAGGGAGAGGGGGGTCAGGAAAGTAGATATTTTACATTTAATAATGCATTTTTTCAGGTGACAACAGTCATACCTGTGCACTAATGGTGATGCGAGTATATATTAAAGCTAAATGTTACTATATATAAATAAAGTTGTATAAAGATAATGGGGGGAATGACTGGGGGGAAGTCCTACCTGATGGGGGGGTATGTCCAGGGGGAAAATGTCCGATACATAATAATTTCCCTAAAGTAAAAAAACGCACATATCTTTTCGATAAACAAATCATATCTTTTCTAGTAAGATAATGAGGTTTCCGTAGGAATCAGGACAATATTGTGAAATTTAACGGACCACAGAGAAAATAAACCTACACAGCAACGTGCATCAAACGGTATCAAAAAGGTCATTTTCACAGGATGACGTGGCCCTAAGTACGCAAGCAGATTACAATGTGGCTTCTGTAACTTAAATTTTCTTTAAAAATTACCCATGAAGCATCAGTTACAATGTATGTGACACACGTCATATTACCCATAATGCAATTTATCCAATATGAATCGAATGTTCTTCAGCAATTTATGAACTCTTTTAAAATCCCAATTCTTACAAAAATATAATAGCTCTTACAATGCTTTCGGTTGTCTATTGGCATTTGCTTATAAAGGTAATAACCGTACCAATAAAATACTAAAGCTGCATCGCAGGCCGTTGCCTGCATCTGAATAGATGATTATGTGGTTTGTATACTTGGGAATATATGTCCAATGAAAACAAGCAAGCATCGGAACCTTTAACTCATCATTGGAGACTGATACCCTTCATACAAACAATTTCACGTTGGTATTGTGACAATTATTTATAGGATACTGGAACCTAGCTTGCATACTTCTGAAGGGTGGACATCGATCAGAGTGTATACCGCGCCAGTGTCCATTTAAAGTAGAACACTTGTTGTTCAATGTATGGACTTCCACCATCCGAGTCAGTAGTTATAGTTGGAACTCTGTGTGTATGCGCGCGCGTGTGTGTGTGTGTATGTGTGTGTGTGTGTGTGTGTGTGTGTGTGTGTGTGTGTGTATGCGTGAGTGTGTGGTTTGGGGGTGTGTGTCAGATTTTGGCCACAATGAGGTAATGTTTGGAGGGGCTGATGTACAATATGGGAATTTAACAATGTAATGTACATAGAATTTATATTGTGTGCTTGAACTTTGTCTGTGATTGATGGACAAGTTTTGGCCTACCTGATGTTTGTTAATATTTTAATTCAAGACCTTGGTTCTTCCCTAGCAAATTATATCGTGTCTTAGGTCAAGCGAAAAGAAAAAAGTATATATCAGTCTTTGGAAGACTATGATCAGAGACTTTGGTTGTGTTCAGATATAATTTGAGAAGAATCATTTACATTATTCATTGGAATTGCATGGTGCTCAATGACCTTCTGGACTAAGCTGCTACACTGAGATTATTGTGAATTCATTCAAAGACATTCTGGATAATATCATTCTGATACATCAAGTTTAATTGTACATCAACACGTTCAATACTAGTGGTACATCAGCACATTTAGGAATAGTAGAATTAATTTGGAACATTATATACGTTTGGACATGTGATAAAATATTTAAGATTATTTGGGACATAATTCAAAATATTGTAAGTGTATTTTGAATTTGTACTTATTATTCTATCGAAATAATTTGTTTCTGGAATATTACTAAACCTGTTTGATTCGCTTCTTTCTGTTCGCTTAGTTTACAACGGTAGAGTCGTAACATTAGCGTTCAGGTTAGTATGAGGTTAATAGGAAGTTAACATTCACGTCTGGGTCAATATGGTAAGCTAACATTCACGTTTGGGCAACGTGGAAAATTCGCATTCACGTTTGGTTCAATATGGGAAGCTAACATAGTGGATTGCAACACAGGTAGAATACTAAGCAGGGGACCAGACTAGGTTTGTGTACGATATGCGTATATTTCTCTTGCAACAAAAAAAAATTCAGTCATATCGCTATGATGTCTGCAGTGTAGCAGCTTAGACTGCTGTCTAGCAATTGTATCTACCTACACTGCTTCCGTTGCCGGATATAGTTTTCTATTTTTGTTTCATAAGGAATAAAACACCTTAACTCACTAGATGCAGTTCTGCGCATGCGAAGAAGGATGAAGAATATCTAGTTATTTCATGCCCTTGTGAATAATCTGTTCTATGCATGTATGCTGCTCTATATAATTTACGGAGTATGTGACAGGTATATTTATCTTTATTACATTTTTGTGTAACAATGAGAATGGCAGTCCAACAAATAAAATACTCTTCTTTTAGCAAGGAATAAAATTAGCCTAAAATATAAACCTTATTATAATTTAATTTTTTAACTTATAAGTTCATTTTATTTTCCTCCAATTTACGTTTGCAGTCCAGACTGTGAACATGTCCCAGTGGAGGTAGCAGTCTATTGAGAGGTGTACATCTGATGTAAAACCATGCCATGTATGCTCTATAATCGAACTCCACTCAGAGGGGAATCATATCATTCGATATTGAATTTTGCAAGTTTGATGTGACATGGTCTCGTTTTGTTTCAATGTTATTCTACGTATAAATTATCCTTGCCGCAGAATTTTACATCTGTACCTTTCGTTGCTCATCATTTTTGTCGGTTATTAGAATTTATATCTCTTGTATACCAAATTTCAGTTTAATATTAAATGCAATTTATTGTTCTCTCTCTCTCTCTCTCTCTCTCTCTCTCTCTCTCTCTCTCTCTCTCTCTCTCTCTCTCTCTCTCTCTCTCTCTCTCTCTCTCTCTCTCTCTCTCTCTCTCTCTCTCTCTCTCTCTGACACACACGCACACACAACACAGTGACAAACAAACTCACACACATATAATCCTTAATCAATATAACTTTGCTATTTTAAAAAGGATATTAACAAATATTAACAATTTTTTTATAGGTCTCATAACACGGCTTGATTATTTATTTTAATGAGTTTTGTCCTTGCAATTATTGGCTCTTTGATTATCCACCTACCAAATTTATATGTGTGCATTCTTATTTTGTGACTGTATTCATTTCATGCTACACACAATAATATCTTCCTCGTTTAATTTCTCTGATTTCACAATAGTACGTGATGCTTTACATACACACAAATAAATCATTTTTTAATCAGAATCTGAATTCATTTTTACTTTATGCAAATATCATGACACCACTTTCCTTATGTTTAAAACAAAATTGCAACCTGTCACATTATCATGGGGTACCTTAATGAATTATGGGTGATTATTTCTTAAGATAGTCCACGCTCAAGATTTCTACAGCACTTGAATAAGACTGAAGGGCTATTTCTTTCTTCGAAATTCTTCAAACATGGAATGAAGGAACAATTTTTTTTTTTACAAAATCTTTCTAAGTTAACGAGACTTTATGATACCGCGTTTTTGATAGCATAATCTTTGGTAACTGTAAGGACGTACAACAATTACACCGCAGAACGTGTCCCATCTGAGTTCCATTGCAACCGTATTTTAAATATGTGTGCAGGAGAGAGAGGGAGAGAGAGAGAGAGAGAGAGAGAGAGAGAGAGAGAGAGAGAGAGAGAGAGAGAGAGAGAGAGAGAGAGAGAGAGAGAGAGAGAGAGAGAGAGAGAGAGAGAGATTACAATCCAAAATCATATTCATAATTTGCAAAACGATTTGTTTTGTCTTACAGAAGGTTTGAATACCCCAACTACTAATAAGGGGGACAACTACTAAAACTAATAAGCATAAACGGTTGAATAAAAGTTAGTTATTTCCCTTATTATATTTCTTTCCACGTATATCATCGTTTTTATTTTAAATATTTTTTATATTACTACTTCACAATTCTGCTATACTGCGATAACATTTATAATCTTATAATGTCTACCTATCTCCTTTATGTCCGTTAGTGTGTCTACTTGTTTTACAGACCTTTTATTGGATCTGGAATCAATCTGCACACGATGACATAAAATAGATCCAGCAGAAAATTAAAATGAGCTGTTGTGTTTAAATCTACTGATGAGTAGTATTCCTTTTGTGTAACATAATTTGTATGTATTATTTTATACTAAATTTAAAATTGTGATTGTGAATCAAATTTTCAGTTTGTAAATTCATTTGATTGTCGTTTGATATAACTGCTGTTAATGTAATATATCGAGTTGTCATTATTTGGCTTTAATCCGAAAATAATCATATTTATTAGTCGTAAGTTATTGTTTCGCGATTTTCACAGTGTATACATTACTTTTGGTAATAGTTGCTCAATATACCGATGTCTCATTTGCATGCATGCATGTATGTATGTATGTATGTATGTATGTATGTATGTATGTATGTATGTATGTATGTATGTATGTATGTATGTATGTATGTATGTATGTATGTATGTATGTATGTATGTATGTATGTATGTATGTATGTATGTATGTATGTATGTATGTATGTGTGTGTGTGTGTGTGTGTGTGTGCGTGCGTGCGTACGTGCGTGTGTGTGGCTTGAGTGGACTTGACGACATCGTTGTGTTTTAGTCACTACCACCAAATTATGCTTTAATACAATTTCCATGTTATACAGTGATGTTCCCTTATATTACAAAATTAAACATTTTCTAATAGCGTTTTCTTGATTAACCCAAAAGTGTAGCTGATAATTTGGACATAAAAATTGCTAAATCATCTTCCTGTGTTCAATATCTTATTCTTTTTGTATGTGTGTTTTGGGGGAGGAGTACGGAGCTGAATGAGTCATTCGGGTTTTCGAAACTATCTGGAACCTAATAAAAATGGCTGACATGAGTTTCAACAGTATAGAAAGCAAAAAAGAACACACAAACACAGAAACGTCACTGTAATTATTTCAACAGTTTTAGATTGAGTTATGACCGCTTTTGTGGTCTAGTGGTTAGAGCGTCCGCCTAGGATGCTGGAGGTCGTGGGTTAGATCCCCGGCCGAGTCACACCAAAGACTTACAAAAATTGTACTAACAGATACCTGGCTTGGCACTCAGCATTAAGAGGTTAGTGTTAGGTCTGGTCGGCCTGGTGTCAGGATAATGTGATTGGGTTGGACATCATGCTACGTGTCTGCGGCATGATGCCCCAGTGCTAGACATCACTATAAACTGCCACACAGCAGACATCGTAGCGATATCACTAAACAAATTGTTAAAGCTACATTAAAAATCCAAATCACACATACACACACACACACACACACACACATTGATTTGTGTTATGGAGATCAATCCAGTTCGGTTACTTTACTCCCCGAATGCTAGGCAAGGCAGTGCTCTTAAAACGGGGTTATATATGACAGCATCTTTGAAGAATTTAATCTTAAACCCTTGTCACGAGATTATAGAGTAAATAGTTCACCTTATTATTCACACGTTTAATGTGCATCAAGTCCAAAACTAATGAACGTGGATTTTTCGTCGTAATTAGAATGAAACCTCATGCTGAGGCATGCGGAACAAACCACGACGTAGAAAGGTATTAATACTCGATATAATGCATTGCTGGCCAGTATTAACAGAAATATACTACAAAAACAGTCTACGAAGATAATATTTCCCATTCTATCTTACCATGTTAAACCCATTGTGCAATATTATAGAGTAAAATGTAACATTTAAAGCACGATTTAAAAAATTCAGAAAATTCATGTTCTTTCGTTTCTGCGTTTTACACCAAATGGCCGCTATATTCATTTCGCGGAGATTTGGCAACACCAACAAACCAATAAAGCCAGAATTACAGATCATGTATGGTCTTTATAGTCAAGTTAAAAGTGCTTATTAGTTACTGACCACTCCAGTGCCCTAGTTGTTAGAGCGTCCGCATCGAATGCGGGAGGTCGAGGGTTCGAACACCGGCCATGTCATACCAAAGACTTGTAAAATATTGTACTAACGGCTGCCTCGCTTGACGCTTAGTATTAAGAGGCTAGTGTTCGTATAAAGTGTCAGGCTATTGTGACCTTGTGGGACATCTTGCTACATGTGTGCGGCACTTGTTAACTGTTACAATGCAGATATCGTAGCGATATGACTATTAAGCTGTTAAAAGCCTAAATCACACACACACACACACACACACACACACACACACACACACACACACATACTCACTTTATTAGTTCCATAATTCTCCAAATATGTGTTACCAGGAGTTGAGGTTTGAATATGTAAAGCAGAGAGACTACTTATTAACATAAAACATTTTTAAAAAAAAAACGACACAATTTAATATTCAGGTTCCTTAAGTCGACATATTTTCTCAAGTTACTGTGGTAATTATTGACATCCTTTATTTATTTAAACGTTATTCATTGACACTAGCAGTGACACAGACAAATTATAACATAGCCACAAAGTACTTGAAATATTTGGCGTTTTTTTGTATGGAAGTTTCCACACAATGAGAAGTTTTAATTTCAAAATCTTTTTTGGGGTAAAATCGTTGGATTATGCTGTTGTTAATGTTTGATTTTAAAGAATCACTGGTTATATTATACCAAGAAAATGGGAACCAATGGCTTTTCCCATGGATACAATGTGACAGCCGACCAGGGCGGGTATGGAAACGCTTGGAGTACGATTCCTACTTTCTACTTAACTGACTAAAACAAAGTTAATTTGATTAAGCAAATTTCTTGTTTTGTTGCTTAAAGTTAGTTTTATTCTCGATAGTCTCAGGTGGTCCTGACAGGGCTTGATTTCGTTCCCTTTTTTTTAAAATGACTTAAAGGCTGACAATTTCACTTAGTTGCTTATGTAGTACTGCGAGAACGCAAACCGAGGTAAACCATCTCTCAAACCTTATATCACGCTGATAAACTTGTTTCCAAAGAAAAGGGCATGATTACTTTTCATAGCCTCTTCTGTATAGTGACGTCATGAGTTAAGCTTAAGGATGAAGACTTAATTTTCGGTCTACTGCGTTGAATGTCTTGCACAACAGTTAATATTATAATTCACAGTTGTTTTTTAATGTTGTTTGTATCTTTACTCTTTAGAATTAGAACTCAGCAGAAAATATATTGAGTTATCTTGTTTATTTGATCAAAGGCTAAAACTGCAAAATATATGTTCCAACTAAATTTTGAGTAATGACTTGAATATTTGAAATGCCATGAAATAATTCATTACCGCATGAAATAACATATATATATATATATATATATATATATATATATATATATATATATATATATATATATATATATATATATATATATATATATATATATATATGTAAGCATAGCATATTTTCAAATATTTAGGAATTTGAAATGTAGAAAAATTCTTAGAAATAATTCTCTGCACATACATTTATAAACTTTTGTAGCAAAATCAAGAATATATATATATATATATATATATATATATATATATATATATATATATATATATATATATATATATATATATATATATATATGTATATGTATATATATATATATATATATATATATATATATATATATATATATATATATATATATATATATATATATATATATGTATGTATGTATGTATATATATATATATATATATATGTATATATATATATATATATATATATATATATATATATATATATATATATATATATATATATATATATATATATATATATATATATATATATATATATATATATATATATATATATTATGACATTGAACATAGTTTATTTTAGCCTGCAATTGTAATATAAATTATTCATTTAAGCCCTAACTTGTATTGTTTTCTATCTTTTCCTTTTTAACAATTCTACTGAAATATATGCGGATTGGGATTCTAAATGTGATATTTTTGGGGCACTCCTCATTTCTGCAAGGGAAAAAAAAAACTCCGTTTATCCCGCTAACCTTATTTGACTTCTGTTCCCCATCTTTTCTTTAGAGAGAAGAAAATAGCTATATTAATTGGACCAAAATCAATATTAAAGCAAAGAAATCTATCTCTAACCGCTTTTAATTTCATTAATATGCGCAGATCCTTCTCATCAGAAAATTCGATCTATACCTTTTATGATATTAGAAATATTAGCAATAGTAACTAAGGTGTTGATTTGGTCTGACAATCAAATGCGATACCATCCCATTAGTGTGACTTGATCTACCCATCATTGGTCTATAGGATTTTAGCCTATGTGCCAAGTTTAATCAAAATAAGATCATCTATAGAGTCTCTAGAGAAGTCATTTAGATATAAGATCATATCGATAAATGTATAGATCTCGCGCATGATCGGAATTAGTCGAGATTATGATTATATAAAGCTATATTCCATATTTGATCAAAGTCAATTCAGAAACAAACGACCTCTATGTGATAACAAAACTCATCCAATCAGATGCAGTAACACTTCATAGACTTAATACATGGCATGCGCGTATGGATACAGTGAACATTACTGGAGGGGGTATTTCGGTAGCAGACGCTGAAATTTCATTTGAATTGGCACTTAATTCTGATTTGCAGTCAACCTTTATCAATGCCTGATTCGTTAGTCCTTTTCAGACAAATATTTGCGATTACAGTTAAAATCAATACTTAAACAAGTTTAATCATTATTTTATCAAGAGTTTTTCTTAATTATGTATATCGTTTATCGTCGAGTGTAGAAGTTGTGTGTGTGTGTGTGTGTGTGTGTGTGTGTGTGTGTGTGTGTGTGTGTGATTTAGATTAACGTAGTTTTAACAATTTTTTCAATCATATCGCTACGATGTCTGCAGTGTGGCAGTTTATAGTGATGTCAAGCACTAGGGCATCCTGACGCAGATATGTAGCATTATGTCCCACCCAGTCACATTATCTTCATACCAGGCCGACCGCTCCTAACACTAACTTCTTAATGATAAGCGCCAAGCGAAGCAGCTGTTAGTACCATTTTTGTAAGTCTTTGGCAAGACTCGGCTGTGGATAGAACCCACAACCTCCCGCATTCGATGCGGAAACTCTAACCATTAGGCCACCGGAGCGGTCTCTAGCGTATATATTAGGATTATGTATTAGTGGCAAAATATCGAATAGCAAATGGTCATGTAAGTTCATAAAATTTATACATGATTCGCGTTGGAAACTGATTTTGAAATAAGTTAAAAGGTGAAATTTGCTTTTTGTTGTCTGAGGTTCATTTTAGGCATTACCGATTGGGCCTTTCCATTGACACATTTTAATATATATTTGATACAAGAGATGAAGGAGGGAGAAGAAAAAGAAACTCAAATAGACCTAAACAAGATAATATTTTTAAGGGAATACATATTTCCTCAATGGAAAAAGAAAGTAGCTCCAAAGATGTTATCGCCACTTTCGCAATATCATTTGTCTCCCACTGATAATATATTGTCCTATCGTATTCGAACTCGATCTAAATAATGATGATAAAAACGTATGATGGAAGTGTGATTAAAATCGGATGGCGTTCATTTCTTCCAACGTGTCAAAAAGTAAATGTGGAAGGACAACCGAGAGATACGGCCATACAATACTCTTACAAGGACGTCCGGCCAGGTAATGCAAATATTGGCTAGCCAACAATTCATTATCAATGTGACAAAATGGCATTTTCGTCCAAACTGACAGTCAGATTAATCTCCAAGTGGAATCCTCCTTCTATCAGCGCTCTCCCATCAATATGTATCGGTGTCAATTATTGATAACATTGTTGTACATTAAAAATGAAGGCTGTCGGATGAATGCATTGCTACTGACTTTGCTTCTCTGAAAATTAATGGGGGGTTGGGGGTAAGCATATAGGAATAAAACAGCAGTCCAGTGGGGCCCAAAGTGGTCGTGTTCTAACGCACTCGCTTTCAGATCACTGCCATCTCACCTCAGTCCGCGTGGGTTCGAGTCTCAGGCAGGGCTAATATGGGTATGTGAGAAAGCTTGCCAATATGGTTTTCCAGAGTTTTTCCTCCACCAGTTATACTGGTCTTCGTGTATAGTATGCTGGAAAATATCTTTAAACCTTCAACAACAACACCAACAACGACACCACCAACAACAAATTGGAAGAAAATAAACCCACTCTCTTCGGGTTCCTTTACTAAAAACACAGAAGACACAGTGCCGTCTTAAGACATGGGCACACTGGGCCGTTTCCCAGGGTCTCACGCTTCTAGGGGCATCATGCTGCTCAAATGGTTAATGAATAGTAGGGCCGGTAGGGGGCCCCAATGCATTGCTTTGCTCAGAGCATATAATGTTGTTAAGACGGCACTGAGAAGACATGATCCAAATAAACATGGGCTCCTCTTTAAAGACTCACGGTACTAATTCAGTTCCCATGATAAACCTTTGCAAACACCATATTAAAAATTCAGTAACTTAAAATTGCTCAGTGCTCCTGATCAAACATATATTCATCAGTATAGATAAGACCTGGAAGTCAGCTTATATGCAGAGGAAAAGCCGCGCCATTTTCTTGACCTGCATGTGTTTGAAACGTATGTTTTCAATTCCACACTAATGAGCCAGGTGCTAATTTTAGTAATGAGTTTTCCAAACTCAAGACTGTTAAAGGACTGAAATTCAATCAACAAAAAATGTCTCTATTTTGTCACTTACAACTATTTAAGCTCTGAAAAGATTCTTTTTCCTAAAGCACTTTTATGTTCACCCATTTCCATGCTGGTTCCTATTTTTCCATATAATTAGTACCGTGTGTCCTTACAAGAGACGTCTTACATTATTCTGGCTGTGGCTTCTGAAAGCACCATTGAGTTTATCTACCATATGCCCTGAAGAAAGAATAACCAACGTCAAGTCATTAGTGAGCGGGAGAGATGACCTGTCCAAAAATACATATAGATAGCATTTAAACCTAATTGAAAAAGTTCCTACTTTTGTGAGTTATCTGAAGGTTCCATTAAAATAAAATAATGATGATTAATAATACGTCATAAGACACTTTATGCTTAGGAAAAACGAAACCAGGAGACCGAAAATAGATCACAGTTCTGCTGTGAATAGTATTGATGATTTCAAAACCAACGGTACAAAGCAGGCCTAGTACTCTAATTAGGAAAAAAATATTTGCTGCTTAATTCTTACTTGTGTCCTTCCGATATAATATCGAGCACACTTCTGAACAATACTTGTGCTTTAAAAAAAAAAAAAGAGTAAAAATTATGAAAAAAAATCACGCAGTTATGAGGATACTGTGTACACATTATTTTTAAACTCACATCCAAACCACGCCTATTTTCTACAGAGACTGATGGACAGACAGAGAATAATGTATATTAAGTTTGTATTGGATCTTACTTGTGCGTGACAACCACTAAAGGTCATTCAATAATGAAAACAAATAATTTAGATCCATCTATTTCATATATTTAATCACAGCTGAATAATCCGCATATTTACAATATTAACATTGACATGTGCCTGAGTTGCAAATTTCAGACGAGTAAAAAGAAAATAACTTGTGTCAATTAATCAAATATTCATCCATCACCCGGTTTGGAGTATGTATTCATTTTTTGGACATATCTCATAATACATAAAATCAATGTTCATCATGTATTCGTAATTGGACATTTCTCAGACATAAACAAAATCGATGTTCCACATGTATTCACACTAGACATTTATGATCAACGCATAATTAATGCTCATTACATACATGTGCAGCTTTCACGTAAATTTTCTGAAGGGCTAATGAAGAACAAACATTTCAGATAATTAATATCATATTTTTGAGTTTTTGCTTGGGGTTTTGATGATTTACAAAACAGAACCACATTGTGCGTTAGATTATACCTAAGCAAGTCGAGTAAAGTACCATTCAGAACGCGCTGTGGTTAAAGATTTAGGTTTAATCAATGGTGAAAGTCGAACTCTAACAATTAAGGCCACAATCCCAATGTCTGGACTACTAAGGGCGTCTGTGGTTTCAATAGTCCATCTCGGTGTGGTTTAAATAGCTTTAATTTCTGAACAATTATGTCCACAAATTAATAAGGATATTAAAACCTCTACAACACCAGAGTACATTTAATTTGCAACAGGTTAAGGAATGTTAATTTCTCTATGAAGTATTACGGCCGACAAGGATAGACGCGGAAATTACAGACCATTGTTTGGCAAATCAAGGTGCATTTTTTTGTAATATCTCTTAGGTAGACTTGTTAATAGATTTCTTTGTAAAAACATGTGCCGTTATAGGTAGTGAACTATCAAAAGTATAACGTTGTACCAATCTAACCCATAATGCATTGCAGGCAAGTACCCACGATGACTTGCAAAACTTGCCAAGTTATACAAGAATTTCCACATCTATCAACCACCGTTCCTAAATTTTGCATCGAACTGAAACTGAAATTCGTTCATCTGCTCAGAATATCTGAGCTTTCATATTGCTATGGTTCACAACTAGCATGTTTAATTTGATAAAATATTTTTTCAAACAACTGGAAACGTATATCTATCTGACTGTTTTGAAATGGACTTTATGTTATAAAGATATGCTAGACATTCAGACTGCAGAGAATTTTGAGCAATGATTGATGTACGTTCCTGTGTAATGTCCAATGTGAATCGGCATGTGTATTCTGAGTTACCTAAGCCTGACGTTTGAAATTGTATGGTAATTATCTTCCTTCTTATGTGGAGGAATTACACACCTCGATGGCTATGATATACCCATTCTTACCAATCTATTTGAACAGATTTGAAGAAATTTAACAATTAAAGAAAATCGGTTGATGGCTATCAAACGATTCATCTGAACATCTTGTCAAAAGCACTATACAATTCGAAAACCTAACTTGAGAATAACTGTCTATAATCAAGATTAGATCTTTAAAAGGAAATCTCAGCCAAATATGGGACAATATTTTGAGGATAAGGACTATTTTAAAGTTAATTTTCATGTGATAATCTACAGTCAATACTCATTTAGTTGCAGAAAATGTCTATAGTGACTGTTGGGATTAAAATTACAGTAAAGATTGTCACACACACACACACACACACACACACACACACACACACACACACACACACACACACACACACACACACATACACACATCCAGATGTAACGACATGGCTTTATACCAATGTTTCATATAGATTATGAAACTGAATGCAATATGTAACAGCTTGATATAGTAATTCAATGTCATCTACATAACAGTATAGATTTTACATACGGGTGTTTCTATCATGTTCTTCCTAAGAATCAGGCGAAAACTTGTTCTTCATTAGTATCAACCATATAGTTTATGATCTCTACTTTAAAATATAAACCATATCAAAAGTTTCAAAATAGTTCCCTTCCATAATTTAAAAGTTATAAGTGAATCAATAAATAGCATGGTCCTATTTCTTCAAATTGATGACCTGTAGAACTACTTTTCAATGCCTTGTAAAGCGGTCATAGATATAGAGGAAGTGGTACATAATGTTTAATGTCATTGATGACATGTAGAACTACTTTTCAATGCCATGTAAAGCGGTCATACATATAAAGGAAGTGGTAGATAATAATGTTCGATGTCATTGATGACATGACTATACAGAAGTTTCATTCGACCATATGAATAATAATCAACCAAAATTTATGTATACCATATGCCCAGACTTGGCATCACATTGACAGTAAGACGTCGAAATATGTATCAATATTTCTGACAATATTAAAAATTTGATGATCCCTGATTTCTAAAACTGTATGGATTTCCTGAATATTACTAGAAATTTAACTTTCATTACAGTTTTTCCTTGCACCTGAAAATATCTTCTATAACATCTCAACGTATTTTGAACTTGACGAATGCAATCATGAACGTCATAGACGAGCAAATCCAAAAATACACAGATGTACACTGAACACGTTGTCTATGGTGAATTATGAGGAATAGGGAACTAAACATAAGTCGCTTGTACTAATAATGGCCGTCTTACTTTATGTCTATCAAAACTAGAAGACACTAATGTCGAGTCACTATCACTATTGTCTGATTTGCCAT